ATATGTCCTGATCTCTTCCACCATTGTCACTAAGGGTTTGTACCTTGACTCAAGAATAACACTGTTGAAAGATTCAGACATGTTATTGACCACAACATCACATTTATTAGTTCTCCTAAAATAAGATCTACTCCAATATCTTGAAGGTGTCTTCATCATATAGAGATATGCTTCTCCATTTAATATCCTCATCCTTATCATCTCTCTTTCCCAGACTTGTGCATATGTACATTTAACAGCTTTCTATATTATTTCCTTCGGAGTCTTCCTAGGATAATTTTTCCTAAAGTTGTTATATAAATTCCTGACACATAACCTTTGCTCAACATTAGGCAAGAGTTCATCCATGGATGATAGTAAACCCTGAACAGAACAAACCACATCAATACAAATTAATAGAAGTCAGTTAAGTAAAATTTATTATGTTCATTGACAACATACCTTTTGTTGATCCGACATGAAGGTGCATGTGAGGCACTCATTTTTTCCTCCAAGATCATCAATCAATAACTCCAAGAACCAGGTCCAGCTGGCCCTATTTTCTCCTCCCCTTAATGTAAATGTTATAGGTAGCATTTGATCATTTGAATCTCTACCTATAACAGCCAGTATTTTCCCTCCACATAGACCCTTAAGAAAACAACCATCCAAACCTATTACATGCCTAGAAAACTTGAAGCTTTCCTTACATGTTGTAAGGCATATATACAACATCTTGAAATGTTGACTTTGCACATCTGAACCTTCTTGAGTTGGTTCAACACCAAACTTCACTGTGGAACCTTGGTTTGATCTTAACAACTCATGACAATAATCATAGATTCTGGTGTAATCTCCTAGGAATGATCCATCAACCATGTCTCTAGTTTTAAACCTTGCTCTAGTTGCCTTTGTTTTGTTCACACCTACATTCTACTTCTTTTGTGCCTTTTCCTTTATGTCTTTAATTTTCATCCTAGGATTCGTTTTTAATGAGTTTTGTATCCTCTTACTCAGCCACTTGGTAGTCATCATTTTCACATTGTAATCTTTGCTGCAACTATGCACATCATTTACCTTCCTTAATTTCCAAGTTGCTTCATTTGACAATTTGGAACAATAGGCTTCTCAATCACATCCATCTTTAAATTTTACCCTCACTCTTACCTTGTCATTTTTGTTGAACCTAAGATTTCTACCACTATGGACAACATATGTAGCAACTACCTCCTTAAAATCATCGTTTGAACTAAAGTACACACCCACCTCCCATTTGAAATCAGCCACGTTCTTTGGTATTTTAAACATTGGAAGAGCCTTTTTGTTAACACCATAACTATCATCATTGTCACACCCACTCACTAACCTTCGCTTTCACTATCACTCCCATTATGTTCAAGACCATCTCTTTCTTCATGTTGTTCATGTCCAACTAGATTTGCCAACTCATCTTCCTCTATATCATCATATCAATCAGAAGAATCATTAAAATATACCTCTAGAGCACTATCATAGTTGAACTCACTATCATCACTACTTAGACCATCATCCACTTCACCACTTTCCATACCATCTTTCTCAGCATCCATACCATCCTTCTCAGCCTCCAACATAACCTGTTCAACCTCTAACACAACCTTCTCAGCCTGTTCAGCCTCCATACCTAATTTCTCAACCTCTAACACAACCTTCTCAGCTTCATTGGACTTATCATTTTCATTGACACATTCTTCATGCAATTTAGAAAGCACTTCTTCAACTACATCATTGACATCATGCTCCTCATTGGCATTGGCAATACTTTCGATATACTCAGGCTGCTCAATTGTGTGGTTAATATAAATGTCTACACCTAAGTGAACCCTATAAAGATCAGCTATTTCTAAGGCTCAAACATCATCAATCAATTATTGCATCCCAAATGTCGGGTCTTTGTAATAGATTGACTCAAAATCCCTATAACATAAACACTTTAGTGACCCTACAAACTCAAAGTAGCTCCACGTGTCAACATCTATTTTCATCTCAGCAACTTCCCCTCATTCGTACACCCTAAGATCGCCATCAACAAATTCACCACTATGATGAATTGTTAATACAATATACTCCTCCATTTCACGTAGACATACAAACAAACGATTTAGCAGAAAACCCTAATTTTTCATTTTAAAAACATGCAAACAGTAGATTTATCAGAAAACCCTAATTCCTATCAGAACTTATATAAATCATCAAATATCTAACTTGTTTGCAACTATGGTTTGCCTTCAAATGATCTTCACTGAACGATGATTCTTGCTTTGCAGAAACGACGGTTCACCTTCAAGTTCTCTCTCTGAGCGAAGAAATTCAACGTATGAATGTTGTGTTTGTTCACAAAAGTTAAACATATACCATGTAACTGTCACGTAACATCATCCATGCCACATATACAAACATTTTGCACACTAACGGATACAGACAGAAGGACAAACATGCTCTATTTTTAAGACTTGAAGGATTATTTTACACTTTTTAAAAGATAAGAGACCAAAATGGACCCCGAGACAAAACTAATGGACGAAAAGGGTATTTTCGCTAAAAAAAATATATAGTAAAATAATAAAATACCTAAAATAACGTTTTAACAAAAAATTATTTAAACTAATTTTTTATTAAAAAAAATTTTAAATTGTAAAATTCTTGCTACTTTAAAGTGATGACAATCTAATCGATGAATATTTCAAACAACTACTCAAATTTTCTACTTATCTTAAATAAAATTCATCAATCACTAGAACTTAGGATTGTTAACTAATCTACAAAGCCTAAAAAGATGCAGTAAAATATATATCATGGTTAAATTAGAAAAGAAAATAAGACCTCTATTTCTCTTTATCACAATTAAAGTTATGATTAATCTATACAAAACTTCTAAAAACTTAATTATAAGTTTTTAAATAACTTAATTATAAGTGATCATAAGTGAGCTAACCTATCTAATACAATATAAGAGTTTAATTCAAAGTCCCTTTCCAAACTCATGCTGGCTGTCTGCACTGAATTCATACAATATCTTCATTTAGGATAACCACAAACAAGGAAAGAAAAATCACCAACCTTTCCAAAAGCACCTTTCTATGATAATCATTAATTAATTTACTCTTAATGAAAAAGACAATTTTTATAATAAAAAAAATGATAGAAATATTTCAAGGGATAATGCACTTACCTAAAAAATTTAAAAGCATAAAAGTGATGTGGCCCTTCATGGAGCCAAAGAACACCAACCATACAATTTTGTTGCATCACAATCGTTCTAAGGTTTAAACAAAGGTCGCTTGGCTCATAAGCAAAGGCATCACTTGCCTTATCCAATTGCCATGTCAAGATATTTTATCTTTTTAATTCATTTATTTATTTTTTATATTTAATAAGTTATTGGTTTTTGACTAACATGAAGAATAAATATCTAAAACAAAATTAGGTCAACTTAGATGACAAACACCTTCAAATTTTAATCCAATAAAAAAAAGTGTATATGTAAATATTCTCACCTTCAAATAAAATAAAATATTATACATTTTAAATTAATTTATTTTTAATCTTTATAGTATAGTAGATTCTTAGCGTTTGAGGTTATGAATCCCTCATCAAAGATATATATTTAAAAAAATATTTGTTAATTAATTATGTAATCTTATTATTTAACTGTCTGTGATGTGATAGATGAATGATTTCAATTGAAAATACTTTAAAAATGAATATATCTTTTAGATTGTATTTATCAAATTTTTTCGAATGAATTGGAATCACGTGGATTGGATATTGATCGAAATCAGAACTATACATGTACAAATGAAAATTATCTATAAGAAAATATATTAAATTCTTATAATATAAATATGTAAATATATGCTTATATATTTTTAACTTTATAACGTTTTTTTGACTAAATGAATCTTGAGATCTAATTAATCAAAAAATTTAAATTAAAAAATAAAAAGATATTTTGAAAATTGTATTTGTTAGAATAAATAAGTTTAATAAAAGAGACAATATCCAAAATAGAACATTATTGTTGTGTTCTTAAGTTTAATGAAATTACAAAGTCAAATAATATTATAATCAAATAAAAAAGTTTAATGAAATTACAAAGTCAAATAATATTATAATCAAATAAAAAAGTTTAATTAAACTACAAAGTCAAATAATGTTATAATCAAATAAATAAAAAAAGTAGATATATTAAAGTCCACTTTCACTATTAAATCTTCATACTCAAAATATCACTAAAGTCTAGACCCCAATTTTGATTATTTCAAATAGTCAACGGAAAAACAATAAAAGAAGTCATAAGGTATAATCGTTATTATTGAGAAAAATAAGGTCAAATATTAAACACAACACTTCATAAATATGTCACAAATGGAAGACAAGACAACAATTATTTCCTACCTTCCTTCTCTTTTCTTGCTCTCTTGTCTCAAATCTATTTTTGTGTCTATTCAAGAGTTCTTTCTCATACTCAAAGAGCATAAGGATTTGAAGTTTCAATTTGAATTCCATATATACCCTTTATTTCCTTTCATGATTTTTTGAGCTTTCTTGTCTCAAAAACTAATCTTGATTACAAAAGAGATACAATTCAAGAAAAATTCTTTAAGGTAAATTGTTCTTTATCATTATTAATTTTAAATTTTGGTGACAATTGTGATTTTAGTATTAAATTTTATATTACAGCAAAATATTGATATGGTCGAAATTACCGTTGTAACCCGTTTATATAGATTTTAAAAAATTTATATTTCGAACACAATTATAATTGCAGACTTCGATACAAAATCACGATTGTAATATTTATGTTAAATTGAAGTCAAATGCTTTTGATATTGATGCGGTTATAACTACGGTTGCAGAGATATATTAATCATATATATTATGGTTAATTTTTTCTAGAAAAGTTGTTCAATTAATTATAGGAAGAAATTATAGATAGTTTCTTGGATGTTTTTTTTCTTCAGGTAATTGAATAAAAGAAGATGGGTGTTATGTATGAAGAGATAAGAAGAAACCAAGAAATAGATTCAAAACAACACTATCACCAACAAAACAATTCATTGTTTACAAACCTAATTGACAACAACAATAATCATCATAGCTATATCAACAATGAAGAATGTTTTGCAACTGAAAACTATCATCCATCCACAAGTTCAGAAATGGATACTATGTTATCAAAGCTGATATCATCCAACAATGGATGGAGCAATTGTGAAGAACAATTGCAAGAGTTTGATGTGAAGCCTGTGAAGAAAGAAATAGGTGAATCTGTTGGAGAGCATGGTGATTACTCTTATGGAGGATCTGAGTTGACTTATCAAGGCTTTTCAAGTGGCTCTGGAAATGGCTTTTATGGATCTTTTGGTGGAGGAAACATTATTAGGGATTCTGAGAATTGTGCTATATCTAAAATGGGTGTGAGGAATTGCAACAATCTTGTTAGGCAAAAGAGTTCTCCTGCCGGTTTTTTCGATAGTGAAAATGGTATGAATTTTCTCTGACTTGCGTAGATTTTACTTTGTGTTTTATCGTCTGAGTTCGTCTGACGATAAAAGTTTGAGTTTTGAAAATGTGTTTCTTTTAAAGTTTCAAATTCAATTCTCGTTAAGTACTAATAATTTACGTGTTAGATCAGTCTATATAAAATTTTGTTCTATCTTTAAATAGATAGTGAAATTGGTTTTTTTAAACTAGAATAGTTTACGACAATTTATAAAGTATTTTTAAACTTTTTTACCTAAAAAAAACATTAATGAGTTAATAGAGTTATCTTTGTTAAATTATTGTAACGTTTAGAAACAGAGCCATCTTTTAAAAAGTGTGTAAAATAAACTATTGTATAGAGTTTAAAATTTGTCATAGTTAAATTATGAAAAATACAATTTCATAATGGATTTTTCACGTTTAAAATATTATAAAATAAGATACTTATTTATTTTGTCACGATTAAAGTGTAGCAAACATAAATAAAGTCTCTAAAATTTTAAGACGGTCGATTTATAATTACATATATTTTGCAAATTACTTTGAATTATAAAAAATCAAATCAAATTCTTTTATTTATTTTAGTATGATTTGTTAATTGAAGGTCTTACATCATTGAGAGAAGACTCAAATGGACAAGAAACTATACATGGTACACTTAACTTCTCATCTATGCCATCTACATGCTTGAAAAGACTGCCACAAATAGATGAAAATGGAATCCAAATCATAGAAGCAAATGGTGACTCCAAATCTCATCATATGCCTAGCTTCACAAATGAATTTTGGGACAATTCATCATTCAATGCTGAAAAAACAGAAACTGAAGATGAAATCATGTTTTCAACTTCAACTGGTTTGGAATCTCATGAAGGTGATTTTTGCTATCAAAATCTTGGTTTGATTCATCATTTGAGTTTGCCAAGTTCTTCAACTAAGATAACATCATCCATAGAGAAGTTTCTTCAAATTCAAGATTCCGTTCCTTGTAAAATTCGAGCGAAAAGAGGGTTTGCAACTCATCCAAGAAGCATTGCTGAAAGGGTTAGAAGAACGCGAATTAGTGATAGAATCAAGAAACTGCAAGGTCTTTTCCCGAAATCAGATAAGGTATTTTAAGTCCTACTTATTTCTTATACAAACATATCAGACACAGACACATATTAGACATCAAACACTCTTTAGATCTAAAATATCGTGTAACAGACACGAGACACATCTTCAATCTAGAATGTTACGTGTCAGACATCAGACACATTTTTAATTTAAAGTGTTACATATTAGACACCTGACACACTCTGATCTAAAGTGACGCGTGTCAGATAACAGACACACCTTCAATATAAAATGTCGTGTATCAGACACCAAACACACCTTCAATCTAAAGTGTCGAGTATCAGACACCAGACTCACCTTTACATACCTTTAATGTAAAGTGTCAGTGCTGAATAGCTAATAATCGTATCATATGTTGATTGAAACTTTATATGCAATTTTGTAACTAGAACTTCTAATTTTGCAGCAAACAAGTACAGCAGATATGTTAGATTTGGCAGTTGAGTACATCAAAGACTTGCAAGAACAGGTTCAGGTACAAGAAAACTATAAACCTTGCCATAAATAATGAAAATAATAAACACATTGAATTATTGAATTTCATCAAAGTCTATAATGTCTAACTCAATTTCTTTCATCTCTTGTAGTTACTCACAGATTGTAAAGAAAAATGCAAATGTACAAGTCATGAGAAGCAACACTCTAGAAATTGTAGCTGATTTATATCTCTTTAGACAGAAAAAAGGGAGCAGAATTTTTGTGTATATATGAAAAAGTATTTAATGAGTGTGCCAAAGTTGGCAATTGTAATTTATAGAAAATAATGTTGATATTTGCCTAGATATTTATGGTTGTTGTAGATGCTATAGCCGTAAAATAAAAGAAGAAGATATAGATGAAAATTGCATTTAGAAAATTTAAAGCATGTGAATGCACATTAATTTTTAGATCGGATTCGTCTCTATTAATTATTATATTTCATATGTAATATGAAATAACAACGAATTCCCTTTTGAATATTTTTAGATAATTAGTTATACAAATATGTTTTAAGACGATTTAAAATAATTATAATAGGAGAGAAATGAATTTCTCAAATATCTTTATTTATAGAGAAGTTTATTTCACTTGGTGAAAAGAAACACCTTTATCATTAAATACATGCACCTTACCACTTTGCCATCCATTCTTAATGTTATGATAAAAATTGAGACACTTAATAAGAGCTTGTGTCACGTATTATTTTACGAGAATTTAATAGGAAGACCCTTTAACTCTATGAAGTGGCTCCATTTCATTCTCGTATAGGTAGACAATATCATAAGTGCTTCTATAATTATGCATTTCAGCAAACATATCATATATGTCTATTAAGAGAAAAATTTCATCCTCCCACATTTATTATTATGATCCAAGTATTTGTACCCCTTGAGATGTATCGATTGTCAAGTACTTCAATTAATCTAATAATGTACTTTCATCATTGAACTCTAATAATGCCCTTCAACTCTATGAAGCAACGTGTTGCACTAACAAAAGTAAGCTTATAATTGTCGTATCCATAGAAATTGATGATTTTCAAAGAACATTCAATAGTTTTATGATTCTAAATAGAAAATGGTTTATATAATTTTGATGCGTGAAAGTAAATAACATAAAATAAATAATAGAAAGTAAAATGGAGATTTCATTATTAACCGTAAGAAAACTTACCAGGGGTAGATTTTGTCATTACATATTTATTATGCATAACCATAAGTCAGGAGTATATTTCTCTACTCAGCTATTAATATTACCACCCGTTGTGACATCAATGCATTACCTAATATTCTCAATATCTTGGTCTATTAACCAACACAAGACATTATGTTCCAATAGTTATAAAGCAGCAAGACTTCATATTGATCCTGCTACAACACGTACAAATATTAAACATAAACCTATGTTTAGGAATTAGTATCCAATATATTAAAATCTTAGATCAAGTAATGACAAACACCTTTCAAATGTCAAGGCACACCATAAAAACATGTTTTAGGTAACAAATCTAAAACAAACATTAAGAACAAAGATCCATCAATATTAAATCTTCAGTAGACTTACATAAAACATCATGACTTATTTAATACATGGATATAATGACTACGTCTACCCTCCTCCACAACAAAGATATTTTTAGCTACACTTACTCATTGTAGTTGTAATGGTAATCTTGCAAAGATGAGTTTGGAAGTTTATCTACCCTGTCACTTGAGCAACGCTCCTACCTTCAATCTTTTTCTCTTATTACCTGGTTGGAGACAAAGGTGAACCTACTCTAGTTATGTACTACCTTAATCCACATAACTCATTTAAAACTGAATTGGAGAACTGAACTGAACTTGATGACAATTTAGCAAGTGTACTAAACCTTATCGAATTAATAAAAATATAGGTTTGTATATGTAGAACATTCTTTTGCAGACAATATACCTTTAATCAAGACATTATCTTTTGATGATGACAACTATGATGACAACTATAAAGAAAACTGTAAAGGAATCTATAAGATCAATCATAAAGTCAAAAATAAAGACAACTATAAGGGAAATTATCATAAAGTCAAACATAAAGACAACTGATAAGTTAAGCATGGTGCTTAATCAGTTATAGATACAAACCCAAGTAATATAGTTTCTGATGAACTTAACTACTAAAAGAAGACAAACAAGGTGAATTATGTAAAGCCTCAAGTGATCTCAAGCAGCGTCAACATAAAAGATAATATCTGGAAAAGGGCTTGTAGAAGGAGTTAATCTACTAGGATAGTAAGTGAGTGACCTTTTGTAAAAGCCAAGGGCTTTTCCATAAAAGTATATGGCTATAAGCGCACACACACTAAAACATCTTTTCAAATAACTTAAACAAGAGAAACATTTTTAAAATTATCTTAAAGTTGTGCTAGATGACTTAGGAGCAATAGAAATAACTAGAGAGAAAAATTTGACCAATCTAATTGATTAAGCCCTTTTATAAACAATTAGATCAGTTCAAACTTAAGCCTTAAACTATTTAGACAGCGCCTCAATGATGTATAACTCCTAGATATATCTTATTTCCTTTTAGAATGAACACTAACAGTTATTTTTCATTATCTAATCGATTAGATTAAAATGTTAATCGATTAGCCAACAGTAAAATCAATTAAATGAGAATTTCGTTTTGGGCAATCCTCTTTCCTATAAATAGAGGTCTCATTTCTCATTTCTCATTTCAAAGCATCCAGAAAACGTGCTTTGATACTTCTCACTCTCTCTCTAAATTTTTATTTGACTTTCTCTCACTAGATGTTATAGTCAAATCGTTTTGTGAGAAAAGTTCTTTGTGAGTGAGGATATCAATGTAATTCTAGAAGGATGGAATTGTACAATTCACCAAAGAAATGTTGTTTTTACACCTTGGGTGAATACATACCATTTAAGGATTAAATATGTGGTTAGAAGTTAAACTCGATAAAAGTTTTGGCTGGGTATTGTATGACCAGTTCCTATTTAGGTTAAAGATTAGTCGATATTAAAATATTCCTAGGTTTGAGATTAGCCTAATTCAAATCTCAGAGGTTATGATTTATTCTGTTAAAATCAAATCTAGTTTGAGATTAGTCTGGTTAAAATCTCAGAGGTTATTTGGTTATCATGTTAAACCAAAACTATTGAGCTCAGTTACTTTAGAACTTGGAGACTAACCGCTATAAGGTATGTGTTAGTGGAAAGAAGACTAATCCCTTCAATCTGCAGCTGGGAAGGGAGAATGACTACTTCACTCTCAACAATTTATTGGAGAAAAGATGCAAACGACCATATTCATCATCTTGTAATATTTGGTTAAAGGTCAACTGTAACACCCCAAAATCTAGACTAATTATTTAATTAGTTATTTAATTGGTCTAGTGCAATTATATGAATTATTGTGATTTTATGTGAAGTCCTTGTGAGTATATGTGATGTCTTAATGATCATGATGTTTGATGTGATGTTATCGTGTGGTGTGTGATGGGGTAGTATGAATTAAGGTGATAGTTAGAATAATATAATATTTGAGAAAATTACTAAGTAGAATCATCATTTAGATAATTAAAGTAATTAATTAGCCTTATTTTATGTAAATAAATAGGGATAAAATATGAAGTATAGATGTTGAGGACAAAGTGGTAATTTGTGAATGGATAAGTGAGGATAAGATGAGAAGGCCATGGAAAGGGTCCAAGGGTTAAACTAGGAAAAAGAGTGTCAATGTCTCATTTTGTGCAATTGTGAGAATTTGGAAGAAGCAATGAAGAGAAGTTAGGACGTAGAGAGGCAAGAGGTGGAGCTTGATAGAATGCGAGGAAGAGAACCAAGAATTGCTGCAAGGAATCTAAGGTAAGTGGAGTTATCATTATTATTATAATCGGTAGAAGGTTTAGATAATTGTAGGTTGTTTTTGGGATTTTAATTGATGATGATAATATGATGATTTTGTTGAAAAGTGATCCATAAGTGATGTTGTTTTGCCATGAATTGATGTATATAACGTATAATAGGATGTGTTGTTATTGTATGATGAAAACATGAGTACTGTAATGAATTGGGGTATGTTATGTGTTGGAATCGCAAGATTTGGAATTGATTTTCATGCAGGAAATCACTTTGAGAGACCGTAACTTGAGTTTCTAGACTCCGTTTGGCGTGCCTTTCAAAGTGTTAGAAAGCTAACATGATGAATTACACCTTGGTGGACTAAAATGAATCATATGGTGTATTTTTCTAGTGATTGTGCTATGATGAAAATATTTGATTGTGCGTTGATGTAAGTGATGTATGTTTTCTATGATGAATGTTGTCGTTGTGATTATGATGTATGTATTATGACGTGTGATGACATTATGATGACTACATGAATGATAATGCGTTTTGACAAGCAGTGGCCGTGTTTTATTATGTTGTTGCGCATCATGCATTCATGGCATATGTTAGGACATTCGTCTAGTGACATTTATAGGACGATTTGTCCAGTGATGTTGGTAGGATGATTGGTCTATTGATGGCTTGAATCCTATTATGTGGATTGAGTTCAATATTATGAAGTGCTCTAGTTCCAAGTAGGAGTTGATACTATTGGTGGGGATCTTTAGAGAATGGTGACTCAGTCATCAGTGAAGTTTTGGTACCACGTGCATAAGACAATGATTTTACATTGCATTATTTATGACATTACAGAATGATTGATTTAAGTGATGCTTTGATGATATGTGAATAAATGATTGTTTCGATGAGAATTGTGATTTGATTACATGATGTTACTGTGAACAATTTAATGATGTGAATGTATGTGTATTGATGCGAAATATGATGATATTTGGATCTGGGATAAATGTTGTGTAAGTAGTATATTTACTCCTTATGTCTTTTATACTGATTACAAATTACTCACCCTTTCTGCTTGGAAATGTTGCCTCGATGCGTGAGTAACTTACAGGTGATCAAGAATAGTCTGCTGAAGCTTATAAGGGAGCTTCAGAGTGCATTTATTTATTTATGTTGAATAAAGAGGGGGTCTTTCTCTGATATGTAACATCAGGGTTTTGGGGATCGTTTGATGTGGAACATTACGTTCTTTTAATTATTGAAATATTGAACTACCTTGCATGGTATTTGAGTTGTTAGATTTATAAATCATGAAGGATGAAATACGATGAATT